GATTCTCCCAGGGAGTGGTCAGTGTTAGTTACAGTTTCTGTGTTTCTTTCTGGATGAACCTATGTATGTTCACTTAGAAAAGGAGTTGAGTATGTGTGTGGATGGATGGTGTTATGGTATATAAATACACTTACTATCTTTTTATACTTCTTCTTCGCCTCTGATTTTTTTTTTCCTCGCTTATTTTCTGGTGCTGTAGTTTTAGTTTGTACTTTGTGGAGCTGTACCAGCTCAGAGCCTGGGGATCTCTACTCACGTGACACCACTTCCGTTAAGCAGCTCTTGCTTTAGATCTTTTGTTCAGGGAACAAAATCACACACCCAAAACTTTGCAACAATTATATAATGTTTCTGCCTCATAAAAAAGAAAGATGAACAGCAGAGCAGTGAAGGTGTTCATCCTAGGGCTCTGAGATTATCTCCTCCTTAACTTATGCTGAGGAGATAGACACTGCCAGAAGATAGATATCAGCCATGAGCTGAATGTTTCACTTCAGCCAGGTAGGTACATGGTGCATGGTAGACTTCAGCTACTGTCTTGTTTTGCCTTTGTAAGGGGCAAATGAAAACCCACGTCTGACATGCAAAGGGGTAACCCATGGTGTGTCTCACCCTAGGTATGTTCTGGATGATCAGTACACAAGTTCCTCAGGTGCCAAGTTTCCTGTGAAGTGGTGTCCCCCAGAAGTGTTTAATTACAGCCGCTTTAGCAGCAAGTCAGATGTCTGGTCATTTGGTAAGGTCAACAATGTGCATTTCTTTCCCCTCCCTGTGAGGAAGAAACAGACACATCATTGAATAAACTTATTGTTCTGTAGGTGTTCTAATGTGGGAAGTATTCACAGAAGGCAGGATGCCCTTTGAGAAGAACACCAATTATGAAGTGGTAACCATGGTTACTCGAGGCCATCGACTCCACCGGCCGAAGTTGGCATCCAAATATTTGTATGAGGTGATGCTGAGGTGTTGGCAGGAGGTAGCTACTTCTTTGTGTTCTCTTATGATCTGTAAAACATCCAGTGATGGGCCTGGTGGATGGGGAAGGTACTGTCTTCACAGCTAGTGAGGGCCTGCCTTCTGCACAGGGATTTCAAGATCCAGCAGAAAGCCAAGTCTTTTTCTCAGTTCTAAATATTGAGAAGAATCTGAAGGAATGGAGAATGCTAAGAGTTAGCTTCATGTACTCAGGCTGATGCCTTACTCCCAAGTGGGAACCCTCCACAGCCAGGGGGAGGCTTTGGAATAAGGCTGGAGAAGTTGCTCCTCCCCTTCTTGTGCAGTAGCTGGGACTTAAGCATCGCTCTTTCTAGAGAAGGGCTCTTTGATCTCAGCGTCTCTGGGTATCTTACTTAATCTCTAGAAGCATTGAAATGTCACCTCCATAGGAGAGCTAAAACACCAGAGAGACTCTTGAGAGACGGGAGTTCACATGTATTGTGTATGGAGTTCTTTACTGTTAGTTCTCAGAACAACCCTTTAATGTATAGACACTTGTACTGTGACCAGTTAACAGAGGGCGATGCTGGCCCAGGACCAGTTACCCACAGAGCATGAGAAGCCCATCCAGCACCAAAGCTGAGGCTCCCTGTCACTGGCTGTGATAGCTCCCACAAGCACTGATTGGGGTGGGCAGAGGCCGACTGGGCAGGAAGCGGAAGCAGAGAGCAACATGAGCAAAGGTGACGATTTGGTTGTAAACACGGTGTATGTGCCCGAGGGTGAAGCATAGTCTGATTTAACAGAGTCGGAGTGAGGCTTTTTGTGGGAAATGAGGTTAGGTGACAAGATGATGGTGGAGGGGCAGGTCACAGAGGGTCCTCCAAATGAGTAAGACTTGATTTCTTAGGTGCTATGGAGCTCTAGTAGGTCCCTGAACAGGGACATGGCAGCAGGGGATAAAAAAGGAGTCTAGAAGCCACGGAATAAGTTTGGCACGGACAGGCCAGCCTGTTCCCCCAGCTCCTGAGTCTTGCCTGTGCAGTGTTCTGCAGGATTGGACAGTGAGAGTTTTCTTGGGAATGGATTCTGAAACTCACAGCTTCTCTTTGACTTTTTGAAGAAACCAGAGGGAAGGCCTTCGTTTGAAGATTTGCTGCGCACTATAGATGAACTGGTTGAATGTGAAGAAACTTTTGGAAGATAAATGGTGGTTCTGGTTCCCAAGGCAGGAGGAGGAAATAACATGCTGTGGGGACCGTGATTCATTGGCACCCAGGAGTAGAGACAGCACTCCTTACAATGCGGGAACTTCAAAGCCTTTTCTTCCGGCCCAGCCTCAGCTCTGTGACTGCTTTTTAGGGTGCAGAGATGGTGTCTTAGAGCAGCTGACTTGAAGCACTCACTTGCTCATTCCTTCAAGAGCACGAGTGCCAGCAGTGGACCAGGCCTCAGGGTTTGCCCATTTTGGAGATGAACACGGGCCTATGTTAGCTGGTGCTAGTAGAAAAGCCAAGGTGTTTGGGAGGGGGAAGAGCCATGTCCTAGAAACTCTTCTATGCCCTTGGGCATCTACATAAACCTGGGCCTGGAGTGTTGTCTACAGCTGAGTTCTAGGAAAAACAGGAACCCACCTGAATAGATAGTATCCTTTGTTCTCAAAACATCTCTTTCCAAACATGTTATTATTACATTAAAAAATATGTATACTGTATATATTGTAAATACATATAATATATAAAATTATATATTTATAAGAAACACGAGTTTGCCTCTTTAGTTGAAAGTTTTGTTGTTTTTGTTTTGGGGGACAGGGTTTCATGATGTAGACCAGGCTGTCATTGAACTTACATAGGTCAATATCACTGAAATTTTTAGGGTTAGAGAATGTCTAGTCCTAATTCTAACAACTGCCAAATCTGTTTCCCCCAAGGATTGAATATTGCTTTCTGAAGGGAAGAAAGCCTGGGTCCTTCAACTGTTAAATGCCTGATTCACAAGTAGACTCATACAAGCATACACCTCTGTTCAACTTGAACCACAGTGTGGCCTGTCATGTGCTATTTGACCCTGACTATGGTGGCCAGAGCTGTTAGAGTCGGGCCCTGGGCCAGACGTGTTATGACAAAGTGGTGCCCAACACGAGGAGGTCCCCAGAGCAGCTTACCTGTGGTGGTCCAGGGTGCTGCCAAGGGATCTAGAGAGAAGGTGGCCAGGTGTTGGTGGCACACTCCTTTAATCCCAGAACTTGGGAGGCAGAGGCAGGCCAATCTCTCCGAGTCCGAGGCCAGCCTGGTCTACAGAGCAAGATTTCCAGGACAGGCTCCAAAACAATACAGAGAAACCCTGTCTTGAAAAACCAAAAAGAAATAAGAAAAACTATAGAGAAGGTGTCCTGAGCTGCTGTATGTTTTTCAAGAAGCCTGGTTGGACTTGGGTCTCTGGATTAGTGAGACTGTCCATCTCAGCCTCGCACAAGACCCTGCTGACCAGTTTGTCTGAGTGAGTGGGTTTCTCACTCACAGTTCCTTTTCTTTTTCATGAGCTTCATGGAAAAGGAGCCAACCATGCTACCACCAGTAGAAACCATTTACTATATATCCAACACACTGCTCTGGGTATTTGTGAGCCCCCAAAGCCAAGGATGGTAAGGACTATCCCTTCACAAGTCAATGTCCCCTGGGAGCTACTGTGATCTCTTCCACCCTGGAGTGTCTGATGAACACAGGAAGGAGCTGCCTTCCCCAAGAGTCCTCTTCCCTCTGGCTATGGAGAACCATCTCTCTGGTCAGGTTTCTGTGTCCGCCAAACTGAAGGCCGTGCTGAAGGCTATGCACATTCCTTGCTTGGACCTTTTATAATAGGGGGAAAGCAAAATATTCTTGTCACAACCTGCCACATTCCTTCTAACTTCCCACATCACAAAACCATATGCACTTTTTGAATGACGTGAAACCCCTTCAAAGAGCTGTCATAGGCAGGTATGCCTTACTACCTCTGTCACACTTTCTTCCTTCCCTACCCCCCATGTCCTCCTTCTGCCTGGAAGAGCTGTGAGAGGAAGTAGCTGGTGCTGAGGAGAGTGAAAAGAAGGTATAGTTCCTGTGTGAACATTTTCAGATGCCTCTTTTTTTCACATGTATGTCTGGGGGTGCTCCTGTGTGACCACAAAAGCCAGAGGCTGGTGTCCTACGTCCTCTTTGATTGCTTTCCACCTTATGTAGTGAGGCAGAGTCTCTCAGCTGAACTCGGAGCTGGCTAATTTGGCCAGTCTAGCTATCCAGTTTGCCCTTCGGATCTCTTGTCTCCTCTTCTCAGGCACTTGGTTTACTGGTGGGAAACCACACCCACTTGTCAATTATGTGAGTTCTCAGGCTTGGAACTCAAGTCCTTATGCTTCTGTGTCAAACTCTTTATCTACTGAGCCATTTCCCTAACCCATACTAATACTTCTTATGGGAAAACAAAACAACACTGACAACATTTTGGAATCATTTTCTTTTTTGAGACAGGGTAGCTCTGTGTATCCCTGGCTGTCCTGCAACCCTCTATATAGATGAGACTGGCTTTGAACTCACAGAGGTCCACATGTCTCTGCCCCTGGGTGCTGGGATTAAAGGCATGCACCACACCAATTCTCACTTAATCCCAAATCAGTTTCCTGGACCAAACACCTTAGGTTGAATATTTGTAATCCTAGAATGCAATTTTCCTTGTACCACTGTGAGCCCTTGGGCAAATAAAACCCCTTCTTGTCTGTTCCTTTCTTCCAGTCTCTGCCCAGGGAGGACATTTTGACTTGACCATTTTTAAGGTCCCCTTTAACCAAAATTCTATGATTTCTTCAAAATGTTTTCTAGACACACCCACACATGTAGGCACGAGGAAGTGCTAACAAACACCTCAGATGTGGATACAGAGTTCTGAACTCTCTTATGTAGGCCACTGGGCTGTCATTCACACACTCCTCTGAGGTTTCAGAACAGGAAAATAGGTGGGGTAAACTTTGGCTTTGAGAAACGTCACGGGCCAACCATGCTTTCAGTTGAAAAATGTGCTGCCGTGAGTGGAACTCGGCCGAAGAACCAAGGCTTCTGTGTGTGCCCAGGCGACAGGGCAGCCATGATTCTGTCATCTTGTAAGTAAGATGGGCTTTGCCTGCCATTTAATGTCAGGGCTTGCTTATGGGTATGTTCCTGTGTCTACAACATGAGGGGAGGTTGTTGCTAAAACGTGGAATTTGTGGAATCTTGAAGATAATGTCTTCAAATGTAGGGACAGGGTTTTGTGGATTATTTAAACAGTGACTGTCTCCTGTTAAAATTGTATGCTTGAGGATTGAGGACACAAATGAAAACAGTCAACAACAACAACAACAACAACAAAAGTGTACTTCCATGTGTGGAAGTTAGGGCAGTATCATATGATGTCTGTTTCTCAGATGTTAAAGAGCTCAGAGTGGAAGGCCAGGAGGCCAAACTCTTGCTCTGGTCCTGCCTCAGCTTTGACAGGATCACCATGGTCATATGAACTCAAGGACTCCCTTTCTGCCTCCTCCCTTGGATATCAGGAAGAAATAATAGGTTAAAAATGACAGATGCATCAACACGCTACTTTGAGAGCTGCTCTTAAAGCTCCAGTGTAATTTTTAGAAACACTCACTAATTCAACTTTAAGACCCAGAGAGGCTAATTATGTATATAGCTTTTAAAACAGAAGAAGAAAAGACCACCTCTGATTTTAACTCTAGTTGGTCTTTGGAATCAAACACCAGCAGAGCTCAGTCATTTCAGATTAGCCCAGAATTCTGATTTTTAGCTGGCATCAGGAAAAACAGATTGTGAGTTTGACATATCTCTTTAAGCCATAGCTCCTTGTTAGGACCCCACGCACATAGGTAGGATTTTTAGAAACAAGCACATGGTATTTTAGTTATGCCTTCCTGCATAAGATTTACAGTCTTGATTCACGAAGACTAACACAAAACAACAACAAAATATAAAACAAAAGGCTTCCTGTTATCTGAAATAAGCCAAGCAGATCAAAGCAGAAAAAGCTACAAAGAATTGTCACATGTCCCCACCTCCCCAAAAGCAGAGCACTGATGAGTAGTGACAGGGTATGGAACATTAAAGGCCCTCATTGTTTTCCTGAGGTCAGAACGAGGGGAAGCCTTAGCTGTGTTTAAAGTAGTTAGTTGTGTGTATGGTGGGGGTGGGCGTGCAGGGGTGGGGGAGGTGGTGAGACAAAGTCTAGGATGTCTAGGGTTGAAGCAGGAGACTAGCTAGCTGTGGAGTCTTTGTTGATCATTCCCCTTGGCCTGGAAAGGACTGATTTTAATGCCATTGCCCTGTATCATCCAGCATCTGGTAGTCTGATTGAATGGTAAGAACCGCCTGTTTCCTTCTTCCCTAAGCTACAGAGAAACAATGCTCTCTTTTCTTCTGGGTGAAATAACCAGTGTTGACCATGCACAAGGAATGCCAAGCATGATCCAGGGTCTATTGAACTTAAGGATGCGCATTTGTATTTGCCAATCATTTACCTAACACCTCACTTGCTCTAAGGGCTGCCATGGCAACCTAGATCACAAGCTGCTGGAAGAGAAGGGGAGGTGCTTTGTGGAGGGTGGGATTTTGATCACATGGAATGATTGCAAGTTCTGAACAGGGACCAAGGACACTGCTCCAATGAAGTTACATTTATGAAGTGTGGTTGGAATTGCCAGTGTGTTGAGCAGCTAAGTTACCATGAGAATAGACTCAGACATTTATTTAGATGCCAAGATCCTCATGCAATGGCTGAGGATTAGAAAAACTTACCTCTTCTGGAGCACTTTTCATCTATTTTTTTTTTTTTCTGTCCTTTTATTGTTTTCAAGTTGTAAAGTAGAAGGAAATGGTGGGCAGAACATACTCTCACACCAACCCTGCAAAGCGAATGACCCATTGTTACTGTTATTAAGTGAAGATAAGCAGAGTGGCTGAGGCAGGCATCCTCCAAAGCTGGCCTCTGGTGTTGTCTGCTTCCAGGTAGATATGCCGTGAACAATCAATCCCTCTTCTTAGGAAGCCATTGTAGCTACTTACTTCCCTCAAATAGAGTATACGAAAACAGGGCCATGTCATCTCTGAGACTTAGTGTCCAAAGATGCAGCTCCTGTCTTGGCTGTTGTCTCTAGCCTTTCTGCCCCTTAAATCATCAGCTGCCCTGGAAATCTAGACGCCACGAATCAAGTGCCTGCCAATGTCTGTGAATCGAGCTAGAAGTGGTTTCTAGCTTCAGGCTGGCCTGGTTTGACTGCAGCTTTGGAGAGCCATGAACCACAGGGCCCCTGCTGAGCTGTTAAGAGAACAACTGGCCTGGTCCACACAAACAAAGCTCTCATACAAGTGTAATTGGATCCTGGCCAGAGTTTGTTCTCAGAAATAGAAAATGTATGTAGTGATAAGGGCAGGGAGTGCCACAGATCAAAAACTAACTTGTTCTCTTCCACTAAGGTTGCATCTGCTGAAGTTGATGCTCTTTTTTTTTTTTTTTTTTTTTTTCATGCACAGACTGGGTGTTAAAATAGACACAAATAGAGTACTCGAGTTTTCTTTTGTCTTGAAATAATGTCATGCTTCCCTTGTAACTATCTTGTATAAAAAAAAAAAGTGGTAATTGTGTCCAGTTTGTGTATACCTCTGTGAGGCTTCCCTGCCTTCTTGGGTGCGGATTTGCAGATCCCATAGCACCTCTCCCTCCCCTCCCCTGGCCAGTCTCATCAGTCCCCCCCTGCCCACACAGAAGCCGGTAGCTCAGCTTGTGGTCCAGGGCCCATGTGCTCTGTGGCTCAGTCTGGCGTTTCTTCGATTCACAAGCTGGCCAGAAAGCTAGTGAGATCCGTGAGCCTGTGAACTGTGGTCCCACAGACAACAAAGTTCTAGGAAGCAGGACCTTGAGGTGTGAGGCGGAGAAGAGATGGTGTGTGAGATGACGGCAGAGTCCAGCTCATGTGGGCTCCTTACCTGGAAGATGTCAGCATTTCTGCAGAGCAGACGTAGCTGGGCACACCCAGGGAGGACGTTTCATGCCGGCTGGGCCTACACAAGACTGTCTCAAAGCAACACAACCAGGGGCAGGGGGTGTAGCTCAGTTGTAAGAGCATTGCTTCTGTGAATGTCTTTGAGGGGTAGAGGGGGGACCTGATCGCAGCTGGGAAACACATAGGCCACTGTCCTAGAGAAAACTCACGCCTTTCCTCATAGTACCCTTTGCTCCCTGGAATCTCTCCTCATGCTCCATCCAGATCCTCAAGCTTCTGGAGTCTTCCTTATACTCCTTCCCCAGCAACAATAAGACTCAGAACAGGCTAAGAACCATTACCCAAATGCATCCATTTCTGCACTTATTTCTTCTTTTCTCCTATCATGGAGTCCCTCAATGTAACTGTTCACCAAAATTTCACTTTCTAATACAAAACAAAAGAAAACAAAGTGTTTTGAGGTCTTTCCTTCTTGGCCAATATATTTAGAAAAAATAATATCTCAAGTGACCACCATTTCTTAGAAAGGTACCAAGGATGGTAACACAAACCTGTCATCCAACATTTGGAGGAGGGCAAAGGTTGGAGGATCTGGAGTTCAAGGCCATCCTGGCTTATGCAAGGAGATTGGTTCTATAAATGATCAACCAAACAACAAAAGGTAGACAGGTGTGCACACACAGGATAATTATGTATAAAGAGCATAAACTTAGGATAAAGAATAGTTGTTCAAAGTTGGATAAACATTCCTATGAGAATGTCAACCAGTCACTTTCCACCTTCTCGCTGGTGTGAGTTCTTGGTTTGATGCCCAGGAAACTGGTGAAAAGCCACCAGTATTGGGCCTTCCCAAACTACCCGGTCAACTCAATCAAAATGTGTCTGTCCCAAAAGGATCTGGGACGTGGATCTAGTGCTGGACTTTTGTAGCAGAGAAAGAAGCTTGGATTTTCTGTAAACTCTTGGTATTGGGGGTGGGGGTGGGGAGAGGCAATTCCTGGCTTATAGTGAATTTAAGAGTATCCATTCTGAGATAGTTGGGAGGCAGAGGCAGGCAGATATCTGTGAGTTCAAGGCCAGCAATTCAGAGAAAGGCTATCTCAAAAAACCAAGAAGAAGAACAAAAAAAACAAGAGTACCCATTCTGAGATGGGTGTGATGGCACATACCTTTAGTCCCTGCCCTTATGAGGCAGAGGCAAAGACTCTATGACTTCAAAGCCATGACTATATGAAAAGACACTGACTCAAAAAACAAAACAAAAAACAACAATAAAAAAGGGTTCCATTCTGCTCATCATAGGCCACAGGTTTGTGAGGCTTTCTTTCCCACAGCTCTCTGAAGCTAAAAGCCACAACTTACAATTTTTGGCTCAGGCAACTCCTGAAACTGAGTGTCTTTTAAGCCCGTTTTTAAAGGGAAAAAAATCACTAGCCACCTGCCAGTTACTATGGTGCCCATATTCCGTAGGAATGGATCTCACCAGAGGCACAAATCCAGAAGAAACTACACACTGTCTACGCCAGCAGCTAACCTGAGATGTTGCTGGTAAATCTCAGAAACTGAGAAAATAGAGACTGCCTGGCCAAAGGCTTTTTTCATCACCATGGCTTTACCAGCCCAGAGGTGACCATTGGTATCTCTTTGGGAAATTAAGTTCTACCCTCCCTCTTTGGCTTCTTGGTGGAAGGGAGCTTGTTCCAAATCAGAGCTCTGTTGTGGCCACTGTGTTCCTCCTGAGAGGAAGGAGCCCCTCAGGACCCATCCCAGATAAAAGGAGGGTGGCTATGTACCACCTATCCTAGAGAGATGTTCCAGTGTGGAAAGGTTGTATGTGGATATGATGAACTTTTTCTAATGTGCTGGCACATGACATACTGTTGGGAATATTTGTTGGGGAAAAAGAAGTAGATAGAACAATGCATATATAAACCTTTGAGAAAGAGTTGGGTTGTGGTGAAAATCCTGGCATTGCCCACTGCTGGGACATTTTGTGTCTCTCAAAAAGGCCCTTGATATGCATGAGTTCCTGTCTAAATTGGGAATTTGTTACAAGGGCAAGAGCTTTTCCTTTTCAGGTTCATTGCCAAAGGATGCTGACTGACTTCTTC